TGACAAGCGCAAACATTAGTAAATCACGTAGCGTGATTCATTTTAATGCTCTCCTCCCATAAATGTTGCGTCTGAAAGGGAAACACTTACAAATGCATATTCAATAAGGTCAGGTGCAAAAATAACTGTGTCCATGCCTTTTCAGCGCTAATTCTTCACTGCATGTCTTTAGTAAATCCTGACAGTAATATTTTAATGTGAAAAGATGGTTTGCGCTGGCGCAAGCTGTTAGTAAATCTGGCTCTTAGTGTGAACGGGTCTTGGCTTTGATATGAGATTGGCCTGCTCTAAGAAGTGTCCTTTCAAGTGTGGACTAGTGATGTACTAACAAATGAATGGAACATAGTCCATTTTAAATCTTTTGGCCACACATTATATGAGTCCTCCAACTGGCAATCATCGACCTTTGAAGATCAACCAGAATATTCAGTAAAGGCACTGCCTCAAAGTGATCTTGAGAGGAACCGTTTTATGTAGAAAAAGGCATTAGTCACCGATTTAAAGACCAGGGCTGCGTTCAGCCCCGACAAAAGACAGACTTAAAGAAGTTCCAGATCTATACTTGTGCCCTTATTATTTCAGTTATTTTACCTTTAATGTAAATAAACATGTGCAAACAATATACTTGCTCTTGTGAATTTATTTGGATGTTAATTACATTGTGCCAGCTGTCTCTTTAATACCGCGTGGTTTATATACATGTTGCTGCTGATTGGGCTGACATGTTTGACACACCCACCAAACAAGAGAAAACGCATCTCAAACCCCGTTGCGCACCGTTGCACACCGTTTCCAGGAAACATGTCGTTCAAACCGGAAACCGTAGCAAAACGGTGCACACCGGTTTGAGCTTGAACGTGCCCCAGTTGTGGCCAATCATATCCTTGTGATCTATGACTGGCTTCTACCTCTGATAACCATCATAAAGTGTTTCTAAAGTCAAAGTGGGTCATTTCTGCACCACTAACATCATTAAACAGGAAAAAAAAAAAACGTTTTCAAAAGAGTTCCCCCAAACACTCCCTCTGTCTGCCACTGGTTAGCCAAACAGATAGCCATGCCCTAAACTCACACCATTGGTTGACCCAATCTTGCTGTTGCCAGGCTGGTTGAGAGCAAAGTTTCAAAAAGAGTCACTATGTTTTCACTTTTCCAGATAAATTAACCTATATATGACTATATATTACGCTGGTTATTTTGTATAGTAAAATATAACACACTTCACCATTAAAGGGATAGTTCACACAAAAAGGAAAATGTTCCAATGTTATTTGGACCCCAATGTTAAAATATATTATTCTGTGGTCCCCAGAAGAAAGAAAGTCATTCAGGTTTTAAACAACGTGCGTGTGAGTAAATGAGGACAGTTTTCATTTTTTGGGTGAACTATGCATTTAACTATAGCGCACTGAAATGCAAACCAGGAAACCAAGGGCTTTAGGACCTATGAGACTATATTCTTGCAGCTGACTGGGAAGTGCCCTTAGTGACACGGCTATTTTAACTGCAATGGTTTCAATTTCAAATTATACACTGTCATGTTACGGCACAAAATTTTGAGCCCAGCCTAGCAACCCACATCTTACATAATCAGAACCAGATCTATATGGCTTCACTCCTGTGTTGGCTAAAGCTCAGGACGTAGTAATCCTAACAGCACGTTTCATGATGTGCTCGGGCTGAGTTATTGATTCCTGTCACATTAACAGGAGTTCTGGAGTGGACTTGTGTCGGGAGAGGGTTTGTAGGCTTGACGCCTGCCAAAATCTCATTCAAAAAAGCTGGTGAAGAAGCATGCCAACGGCAAAGCAAAGGGCACTAAAGCTGCGGACATAACCAAATGGATTTACAGATCGAAAACCACCTTGTTTGCTTGGATTTCCATCCTTGATTTATCTTGATGACTATAGGCTAATGTTTTGAGGAATGCTGGCATTAAAGTAATAGTTCACCCAAAAAAGAAAATCTGCTGAAACTATACTCACCCTCAAGCAATCCAAGATGAAGATAAGTTTGTTTCTTCATCAGAACAGATTATATCCATATAATGCATCATTATATACTGCTTTCTCCAGTGAAAAAGTAGTCTCATCTGAATCAGGAGAGAAATATGCACAGATCAAGCACCTATTACAAGTGAAAACAGGCCAAAACAGTTCTGAACAAATATGTCGATGGATTTGGATGCGAGAGGCAAATTGACTTTTTCACTGGAGGAAGCGTCATGGATAATGGACTCATATATTGGCCAGAACCAATGGTTTAAAGTTAGACCACCTTATTTGCTTGTTACAAATACTTAGCTTTTCAACATTAATTGGTGGACTGAAGTCATGTATTACTTAAGGATTATTGTGATGTTTTTATCGGCTGTTTGGTCTCTCGTTCTGACGGCACCCATTCACTGCAGAGGATCCATTGGTGAGCAAGTGATGTAATGCTAAATCTTTTCAAATCTGTTCCGATCTACACTTGGATGACCTGAGAGTGAGTACATTTTCATTCCTGGGTTAACTATTCCTTTAACACACTAGCTGTTGGGTCCCACACCCATAAAAGATATTTAAAGGGGTCATATGATGCTGCTAAAAGTAACATTATTTTGTGTATTTGGTGTAATGAAATGTGTTTATGTGGTTTAAGGTTAAAAAAACACATTATTTTCCACATACTGTACATTATTGTTTCTCCTCTATGCCCCGCCTTTCTGAAACGCGTCGATTTTTACAAAGCTCATCGGTCTGAAAAAGCGAGGTGTGCTCTGATTGGCCAGCTATCCAGTGCGTTGTGATTGGCCGAATTCCTCAAGCGTGTGACGGAAATGTTACGTCCCTTACCATATTTTGATGCCTGCGGCAACCACATGTGACGACCCCGGGCTGGACTCTGCTTCATCCACGGTGAAAGCCGATCCGGAGATCGACAGCACGAAGTTGAAGTATTTCCTCAGCGACCGGCACAGATCAGCTCTAGTCATGACGAAGCGATATCGTCCTCTTTTGGAAGACCAAACAAAGTAGTTTCGCTTTCATGACGCAAACAGCGCCTTCACGACATGGCGGCGGCGGCAACAATACTACAGCGAGAATAAAAGTTACGCAAAGAATAAGTTCTTTGCGTGAACATTTGGGCGACGTTATGCAAATCTTCCCACAAAGTGATGTAGATATGTGGGGGCATGTTAGAACGAGCTGTTTTAGGTAGGTGTGGCTGACTCTTAACTTTTATAAAGAATATCTCTTTGGATTTGAGACTTTAGTCTTTGCAACTTTACAGATCTTCTTTATGGACCAAGAGCTTGTAACACTCCAAAGAGAAAGGAAAACTTGAAATCGCATCATATGACCCCTTTAATATAAAAAATAAAGAGGTTGAACAGGTGGGTGTTTCAGGTGACTGCATTTCTTGACTCATTCTTGCCCAGACTTGCATTACGAGATGGGCAGCACCAGCTAAAGAGGTCAAAGAAGCTGAAAATACGATATGTGTGCAGCAGCGAATACACTGGAGTCGGAACAGAGCAAGACTAATTGATGTAATATCTGAACACACAAGCGACACCAGTCAGCGGACACTGATAAAGGTCTTGCCGTCCATGTCTGGAGTATTTGCTGTATGATTACTAATTCCATGTGTAAGTAAACAAATTGAACGAAGCTGCGTCCATCGTGAAAATTTCTGCATGATCAGCAATGTGAATGATAGTTCAGATTTAACCAACCTTTTACATCACATTGATAAAAACTGGCTTTCAATTAGATACACTTCAGAACATCTCACTGTACATGAGAGTGTACTTTCTATCACTTTTATGCATGGCAGCCAGGATTTTAACTGCTACATTTGATTAATATTTTATCGCACCTCCACACTAGCTTAATACAGCAGTGTTGGAAACAGATGCTGAATAACTCGTTTTGCAGAGGGTTATGAAAGAAAGTTATGACTTAACCTGAGGCATATGACTTATCCACAGGCTTTATTAATAATTCAACAACACACACACATACACAAATCTACAACAGGCAAATGATTCCAGCAACCACACAATATATCTGCTGAAAAGTGCTTGGTAAAAAAACACCAATATATGGGATACATATAAATAAATAAATAAGGTGTAATATGGTATAATATTTTATATATACATATTATCATTAGATAATAACTGTGTTATTAAAAGAGAATAAAAAAACTTGAGAAAATAAGGAACGAGTTAATGAATCCGTTTAGTGCACTGATTCAAAAGAATCGAGTCACTTAGATGAATCAAAGTCCCTACCACTATTTATAACGTATAGTAACAGAAAACCTCTGGTCTTGCAAATTCCAAAGTAAATTACATTAAAAATACAATTGTTTTCACGTTTAGATAAATCATCTTGAGAAAAATATGAACATCCAAGAAGACGACCCCTCAACAAAATAACAACGTCAAAAAAGGGGAACTGAAACAACTCTCGCCTCGCTGCCTTAACTGGAGTGTTCGCTTTAATAATTCATGATACATCGGGTTGTATTAGGGACATACGTAAATATAATCTCTTTTTTGCAGAGCGTCGCTCCAGCACAGGCGAGATCGTGACTATGGCGGTGTGTCCAAACCTATCGAGCTGCCTACTTAGACAACTTCGCTCTCGAGCCTGATGTTTGGACTTCTCTGAAGGCGCCTAGATGCCTAAAATGCTGTCTTAACAGATAAAAGATTTGGTTTAGCTTCACAGCCAGTCACTCACTTGTCATCAGCCAATGTTTTGAGAAAAATACAGGAAGGAAAAGAAGGCAAACGGGTGTTATGAAATGCGCGAAGATTAATTTCAGGCTTGTTATGTCATATACAAGAATACCGTACTAAAACGCTCTTATATCGTGCAGTTGTCGGTGACGGACGTGCGCATCAAATGTGCTGCATTTACAGCAAACGACTCCACACCAGCTAGCGATCTTTGCTAGGCAAAATGACAAAAGCGAAACATAAATGCTGGTTAAAGTGAGTTTACCTGGTCCAGTGGCAGATCAATAATCTTACTAATTGGCTGCAGCAGCGTGGAGCCTGTGCAAGACGTAGAAGTGGCCATGATTCAGTCCAGATCCACTCCCTTACAGTCAAATCGCCCAAAACACCGTCTGTCCTCTTTCTCTCCCTCTCTTTATGGTGGATGGGTGTTGTTGGGAATGCTGATCTCTAGTGTTGCTCTTGTCGCGGACTGTCAGCGCTGTAGCACCGCCTGAACATCAACACAAACCCCGTGTAGGCGGACTGACTCGCCCAGCCCGTCCATTACATCAAACTACTGCTGCTCAATACACACACACACACACACACAGACACACTCAGCTCAAAAGAACTTTACTGCCACTCCCTCTCATTCATCCCCGTCATTTACTATAGCAATGCAATCGTATTTTTAAAAAAAATTACAGTGGAAAAAAAAAAGAAATATTATTTTTAATATAATTTTTAAATATATATTCTATTTTATGAAGATTTTTTAAAACCACTTTTGAAAAATATGTAAATGATGTACATGCACATAACACTTCAGACAACCAGTCTTCTAGAAAAAGTTGCTATATTTTACATGAGGCCGGTTGCCCCTTCATGGGCGTGGCCATGTTGACATCACATGACCAGCTGTGTCATGCAATTAAGTTTCTAAGAAAAACAACAACAACAATAATAATAATAAATATAATACAATTTCAGCCATTGCTCAAAGCGCTTTGCACAGTATAAACATAAAAGTACAAACAATACAAAACTTCTGCTTATTTCCCACACTCCCTGTTATGCAGAGAGTTTGTAGAGACCTGCACTCCAGCGGGAGTACCGCGGGACCCAACGCAACAGGGTGCAGCGCGGGACAACTCTTGATGGGCGAGTGCGGGTGCGGGCAATAAGTAGCCCCTCACTGCAAGTACTCCTCACTGCAGAACAAAGATCCAGGGGGCGGGGTTGGATCCA